TGTCAACATGCAAGATTGACTCACTCACACGAGTAATCGCCCTTAGCGCTTAGGAGCGAGTAAGGATGAGACTAATAGTTTATTTTATTTTGAAGCCAAAAGAGGCTTAAATTATCCACTATGTATGTCGCCTTGGTTATAACCAAGATGAGGTCATGTTAAAGACCAAACATGGATGTTAGTACCCACTTTTCATGTTGTGCTTGTTATGATTAGCCAGATGCGAGATCTCATTTGGCGCCTAGAATGCGAGCTAATAGAGAATTTGGGTTAGGCATTAGGAAGCGACTAGACTAAGATCTGTACGGTGTATTGAGTATAACGTCACTTTTTGGAAGAGTTACTCCACCGTAGCATGTATTCATACTACATGTGCTTGGCGATTGAGTAATGAGGTGAGAGAATGGATCCCTATTTCCTCACCGTGTGAGTCTTATGTGTCATTATTGATATAGCCTTCACTTATGTACCTTTTTGTGACCTTTGACTATGCCATAAAATAAGGGGTTGATGTTCTGCTACTTTGGTATGTTGCCTGTGGTCATGTATGATTTGGGATCACTGGAAAAGCAGTCAATCCTAAGCTGAATGACATGAGGGCGAAGGGAAGATCATCTAGTATTACACCACTATTGTATATTCACTGTCAGCAACTCACATCGCTCTGTATGAGATGCAGATTGAATGTGAATATATTACAAGAATTAAGAGGGTCAAACATGATCTTTTGAGGGATTAGAGATGTTTTTTGGACCGGTGTAATTAAATGGGTCTGGCGTATATGAGACACTATTTCTATTCTTTTTGGGTTGACGTCCCTATGCTGGCTCATTTTGAGCTTCTAGTATAGAGCTCCCACATGCAGGTGTTCTCAGCGGTTGCACGGTTCATTGGCTAGTATGGGATTGTTCAATATTTGGAGAGATTGAGATAGAGATGTGGCGGTGTCATGCCAACTCATGGGCGAGTGGGAGATGTTGGAAATTGGGTCGGGTATTGGACCCGGGTTTGGGCGTTCATGTGGCATGACCCATGACCCATTCAAATTACCCAAGTAATTTGAATTTGATTTCCTGATTATCCTATTTATTAGGATAATCCACTATCTATCTATATCTATCCTATCCTTAGGGGATATGGATAAATGGTCAGTCTATATATGGGATATGGGGATGAATCAAATATCAAATATTTTTTCCATACTCTGTCTCTCTAACTCTCTCCCATTGAGATAACGATACAACCTTTGCACTGTGAATAGAGTGGGTGATACTCATACTGTAGTATCACTCCATTGTTGGGTGTTCTTAGTTCGTGGTTGTAAAGCACATGATTTATCAACAAAGTTCTTCATTTCGGATTCTATCACATAAGGTATGGTTTGAATCATTTTACCCGCTACGTTATCTGTATCTTACACATATAGTACCTGAAACAAGAGAAAGCGAAAGGAGGTGATGGTTGCATATGCCTCTGCAATTATTGGTATGTTGTTTGTGAAGCTCTCCACTGCTGTGATCGGTTGCTTTTCATTATTCTCCTACAATCAGACCATGGTCTCATCTTATTATACATTGGTAAACGGTGGGATTATTTTATTAAACATTGATCTTGCTCAAATCATTGTTTCTAACAGAAACAGCCATGACAACTTCAGTTGTTATTTTTTCGATTCAAATGAGAAATAAGTCAAAATGTGTAACCTTTGCCAATATTCTGGTTATTATAGAATAATCCCCTTACAAATTTCGGATGTTTTTGTGCTTCTACATGTTCCATTTCCTTGTAATAAATTTACTTAAACTTGGTGTCCATATCAATTCACATGAATTAATAATTTAGCACTTTTATCAAATCCTACTGCACTTTCAGTATACACTGTGAACACAATTATCTATACTTGAAAGTGTAAGTATGACAGCAAGATAGCAGAGATGTAAAATATAATCATTACCTAGTTATTTGCTTTGCAGTTAGTCTAGTTTTCACCAAGAGGTTTGAAGGCAGATCATCTCAATAAATGCCACTTAGTTCACACTTAAAATTAGAACCATTAGGCTTTCATAGTGATGTGTCTTGTACATCATACTATCCTCTACTTATTTGCTGTGTTTCAGTCTCAATTTCCTTAATCCTTCCATTCTTAATTGAAGGCTGGTTTGGCCCCTTTAAAAAAAGTTAAAAAATCAAAAAGTTGTTGAAAAAGTTAAAAAATTATCATTATTCACCAAAAAAATATTAAAAAATTAATTTTACACAAAAAAAGTACAACTCACTTCTCACGTGAGTTGTACTTTAGCTGACTTTAGTTAGACAAAGGGAATAGGCGGGTGCACAAACAAAACGGTGCTGGTCGGCCCATCACGGATCCCGTTTTGATAATCTGAACCGTTTAATGTGTAGAACTCGTCGAGTACTATATGTTTGTAAAAAATTACGTTGATCAGATATTTCTAACTACATGATCAAATCAGTTTTGTATAAAAATGAATGGTGTTATAGTTAATGGTTGACAAAAAACTAATCCAATCAGATAGCTATTAATATCCGATCAATGTGATTTTTTATAAGCATATAGTACTCGACAAGTTCTACACATTAACGGTTCCAATTAGCAAAACGGGACTCATGGTGGGCCTCCATGGGCCGAACAACACTGTCTAATTCAATGTTTGAAAAAGGAGACAAGCATCTCTTATACACTACTCTATACAATGCTGCCACCGTACTGCCTACTCACCAAAAAACTTCTCCTATACACTAATTTATACAATTTTTTAATATACATTTTTTCGTAAAAAGTCAAAAAATTATCTCAAACGATCATCTTTTTTCCTTATCAAAAAGTACACTTATTTAAAATATCCCAAACAACCCCGAGTACTACAATAGGGTTGATTATCATATAGCCTGCATGCATCATTTAGAATTAGAATAAGTAAAGATTTCATAAACTAAATAAGGAAAGAAGAGAGAGAGAGAGAGAAAAAAAAGATTTTGCAGTGACAACAAAATGAAATGTGAAATAGTTTGATAATTATAGATCCCATGGGTTTTATTATACACTATTACCACCAAAAAAGAAAGTGCAAAAACTGTTATTCTAATAAATTTCATGAATTCAGATCATGAATTTTTGATGTCGTGTACCCGTTAGTGTCCACCGCGAATGTTAATAAATTGTCTTTTTTTTTTGAAAAAATTAGTCTAAGGTCCCTCTCCCATATTTAGTAATGGAAGAGATCCACAATATTATGTTTTGATGTCTAAGGTCCCTCAACCCCCACACTCATATATTACAGAGAAATTTCTCAAATCAAACCTCATTCTCTCTCTCTCTCTCTCTCTAAACTCTCTTCCTCTATATCAAGTGGATATCAACAAATAACATTCAAATTGTGCCTAAGCAGTTGAAGAATTAAAAGAAATCAATTACCTTGAGCGACAGAACATCCCAGATCATGAGGCGATAAAGGCAGAGAATTAGACAGAGTAACGGCGGTCTTCTTCGGCTCAGCTTCCACAACTGCACTCGCGGTTTCAGCCACCACTACCGCCGCCACCGTCTACGGCAGTAATCGAACAAAGAGAGACAAGCGTTTGGCGATGGAGATGCGGGAAGGGAGAAAATAAAAGGTGTGTGGATTTGTAGAGTTTCTTTGTTTTGGAATCGGAGAGGCAAAATAGAGAGGAGTGGTGGTCATCGCCATTGTTGCAAACAATTGCAGAGCCTCTGAAACTCTAGCCAAAGGCCTTAATTGTGGTTCATTCATAACCTAATATTCCCACTAGGGCTGTTCATAAACCCGTTATACCCAACTCAACCAACCGAACCAACTCGAACCATCGAGCCATGGTCAATTTCGAATGCTACACAGTCGGACCATGGTTAAAAAATGAAAAAAAAATTCAGTTCACCAGTCCAAACACACACCATATATATACCATACCTATACACACAAATTCATTGAATCTAATACTTCCAAAGATGCACTCAAGGGAATCAAGGGAGGGAATTCACACCCTTCCAACATAGGTGATTTGTTCTTAGAAGGGTCTCTGAATCCATATGCAGATGATCCCTATGCATTTGATTAGAGAAAATCATTTCCTGGATTGAACCAATGGCACAAAATCATTGAAGCAAAGTCTTTTGTTCTTTTCCATGTCCGGATAACGGCGGTGCATCTGAACTATTTCACCGACAAGCGACAGCACATGTCATGAACTTTCTGTGCAAGAGAAGTCCAGAGATCTGGACCAATTTTCTCTGTGACGTGAATTTTCTCTGGACTAATTTTCTCTGGACCAATTTTCTCTGGATCAACTTGAGGGATCTTAGACATTATGAAAATATTAGATGTCATTTATGCTATAAAATCTTAATACGAGGGACCTTAAAAAAAAACCTTTTTTTTTTTTTTTGTTTGGACAACTTATGCAGAAAAAATGCTAGAAACCTTAAAATATTTATCAAAATTTCTATTGAATATCTCGCATAGCTTCTACCTTATGTCCTTTGTATCATTTTAACACCTACACTTTCAATTAGTTTAATTGACTTTTAATTTTAAATTTTGTCAACTTGATCTAATTAAAAATGATAAAAAAAAATTATAACTGAATTAATTGAGATTAACTCACTAAATTGAATAAATTTATAATTTTGTTCTTAAAATCATGACAAATGTCATTCATATATTTCATTAAAAAATATTAATAGTTGTAATTAATTAAACTAAATTTAGACAAATTCATTAATTTATGATCAAAATCAAACTAATTAAAATTACAAAAATTGTTTGTGTCAAAATAGAAGACCACTGGCATAATTTGCTCATGAAATTACCACTCAATGGTAAAAATTATTCTACATTCATGAAAAAGATAACTTTAATTATAAATATTTGTTAAATTTATTATTTTTTGTAATTATTTTTTAAAACATATATATATATTTGGCATAATGGACTCCAACTGTTCAAATTTGCAGGCTGTGCCCTCAACGTTTTTGTATTTATTGTTTAAATTTTTGTAGCTCTCGTGGAGCATTCCACTGCTAAATTTTCCGGGAAAGTGAAGAGAAAATAGAGGAGATGAGTAACAGCTCACTGTCATCGTCGCCGGCTCGTTCCTCGATTTCGACGACAGCAATCGCAGGGGCAAATGCTGCCTCTGCTCTCACCGTCGACGACTTACACTTCCCTCCCGATCTCAGCTCTATCCAAGATCGCAAGGACGAGGCACTTCTCGGTTTGTCTCTTCTCTTTTTCAACTATTCTTGTGAACTTCTTCAAATTGGACCATCTGGGCCTTTGTGGGTTTTCTCGATTTTTGTTTCTTTTTTAGGGTTTTGACAAATCTCTGAGATACAGAAAGTTTGTGTTATGAATACAATTCTTAAATTTTGCAATATGGGTCCCGTAATCTACATTATATTTCTGGGTTTTAATCTCTCTCTAAAGGGTTTGTTTGTGATTCTTCTTGGGATTTTGTTAGTTTAGTTGTTATCATTGAATTACATGTTCAGTTTCTCTCTTTGTTGTGCTGGAAGTTTAGGTTTCTTGGGATGAAATTGGGTACATTTAATTTCTCACACTCAATTGGTTTCTGGGAAAATTTGGGAGGAAAAAACAGAAGGAAATTTCAAATTTTGAATCTTGTGTTTTCCATATCAAAAGGACAAATACTTGCACTTGACTATAACTAGGCTGATTTTGTATTTTTGGAAACAAAAGCAATAGAATCCATACAAATCTTGTTTGATCTTGCATTCCCAGTTTCGTCATTTCCTTAGTAGATAAAGAAAAGAGCTATTAATTTTCTTGCATTCTCGGTTTTCAGAGAGGTTTACATTTATTTTCTCACACTCCATTTGGTTTCTGGGAAAATTTGGGAGGAAAAAACAGAAGGAAATCTCAAAATCTGAATCGTGTTTTGCATATCAGAAGCACAAACACTTACACTTGACTATAACTAGGCTGATTTTGTGTTTTGGAAAATAAAATAAAATAAAATAAAATAGAATCCATGCAAATCTTGTTTGATCTAGCATTCTCAGTTTCATCATTTCCTTAGCAGAGAAATAAAAGAGTTAATTTCAAACTCAATATGGTTGCTTAGTTCATGTAACGATATCGCAGTTCTGAAATCGGATTTGATGGCTGCACTGAACAAGGAGGTGAAATCCATGGATGAAGATAATTGGAAGTTTGATGGACCTCGCTCCCGGATTCACCTTATTTCAAGACCAGGTAAGTTTTCCACCATAAATGGCTGCTCTCTGTTGTAACATCATGTGTTCAGTGTATTTCTTCTCTTCTTCCCTTCGTTGCTGGATTTCCAAGCTATATCCAAGAATTTGACAAGCATGTCACCACAATATTTTCTGATTAAGAATAAATTTGATTCCCTTAGTGTGATATTGTTTGGATGTTTCTTTCTCTGTTTAAAGAATGTAAAATAAGATGGTTAGAGGGTGGCATTTCAGCCCCAGGATCTAATAATCTGGTCAAGTGTTATTCCTACTCTCCAAATGTCATTCTATCTCCTTCATATCATGCAGCTAGCTCTGTTTATTTTTCCTATGGAAGTTTTTCTTTCTGGGTTTGCTCTTATGGATTCTAGTTTCAGGTAATCTTCTCCATAAGCATGCGGATGTCACAAAGCATCGTAACCTTGCCCCTTCAAAATGATTTGGAATTCTTCAACCGAGCAGAGCATGTGTACCCTTGTCAGCCATTAAGAGGCAACTGCTGTACTCACACTACTCTTCCTGTATTTTCTGGTTGATTGTAACTGGTATGGATGATTCTGTGTACAGACAACTATTGTTCATCAATGTGACACTGTTGTTTCTCTCCCTTTTTGAACTCTCAACACAAACCAACAAATGTAGCAAACATGTTGTATAACAAATCTAATTAATTAAATTAAAACCTGAAAAAGGATCAAAATTAATTAAAAGGGAAAAAAGAGCTGCTCAATCTGACCTTCCAAAGCATAACAAACTGTTCCAACATTCTGTCATGGAAGGGCAGTTAAGAAAGCGCTCTCACTGTCCCTCTCTTCCTCTAGTCCTCTCCAGACCTCTCCATACAAAACTCAGGCAACACAATCTCCGTCACCTCCATCTTCTCTCCAAGGTAAAATGCACAGATTAGCATTGCCCAATCCAGTTTCCTCCATCTTTTCTCCGTGGCAAAATGCACAGATTAGCTGATAAGCTTCTAGCAATTAATCTCAGAAATTAGAAAAGAAAACTCAGCTTTTGTTATTCAATTCTCATCAAACGAAAGGAAGAACTCTTCGATGGAGTTTTACAACAAGAGAGAAAAAGAAAAAGAAGAACAAAAGAGAAACAACCACCCCTTCTATCTGTAACTCCCTCTCCTCTTATAATCCCATTTCCCGTAATAGATCCCGTAACAAAATAACTACCTCACAACTGCCTAACAGAGTAACTACCCCACAACTGCCTAACAGAACGATTCCTATCATTCCCCACCCCTTAAAAGGAAGGTTGACCTTAAGACTGGAAATGAGGAAAATGCTGCTGCAAGGTATACCAAGTCTCCCAAGTGGCATCCTCAAGAATAGAATTAAACCAGTGGACCAAAACCATAGTAAGAGGCCTGCTATGCTTCTTGATCAGTTTTCTATCCAAAATCGCAATGGGTTCCAATTGTAGCTGCCCATCAAAATTGGTAAGTGGAAGGGAAGGTTGCACAGCAACACCTTGATCCAGTTTAGGCTTCAATAAGGAGACATGGAAAACTGGATGTAGCTTGGAAGAAGATGGCAAATCTAGTTTATAGGCAACAGGTCCCAACTTCTGCAAGATTTGAAAAGGACCAAAATACCTGGGAGCTAGTGTAGCATTCTTCCGTAATGCCAGAGAAACTTGCTTGAAAGGCTGAAGTTTAAGGAAAACCCAATCCCCAACTGAAAAAACTCGCTCAAACCTATGCTTATCTGCTTGTTGTTTCATTCGATGCTGGGACTGAACCAGATGCTCTTTCAACAACTTCAAAATAGCATCTCTATCTTGCAACAAAGTATCAGCAGCTGCCACAGCAGTATTCCCTGGAATATAGTGGTTCAATCTGGGAGGGGTTTGACCATATAAGGCCTCATATGGTGTGACTCCCGTAGTGACATGATAGGTAGTGTTATACCACCATTCAGCCAGAGATAGCCATTTGGTCCATACAGTAGGTCTGTCTCCCACTAAGCACCTCAAGTACCCCTCAAGGCATCTATTAACTACTTCAGTTTGGCTATCCGTTTGGGGATGATAAGAAGAACCCATACACAAGCTAGTGCCTTGCAATCGAAATAATTCCTTCCAGAATTTACTAGTAAACACCGGGTCCCAATCTGAAACAACAAAAAGAGGCATCCCATGAAGTTTAAACACATTATTTAAGAATGCTTGAGCTACTGCAGTAGCGCTATAGGGATGGGTTAAGGAAATGAAGTAAGCATATTTACTAAGCCTATCCACAACCACATAGATCACAATTTTATGGGAAGAGTTGGGTAACCCTTCAATGAAATCCATCGAAATATCACTCCAAAGCTTAGTAGGAATGGGAAAGGGCTATAACAACCCAAGTGTTGCCACTGTTTCATACTTATTCCGCTAACATACGTCACATTCAACCACAAACTTAAGTACATCAAACTTTAGGCCTTTCCAATAAAAACCTTGTTTGATTCTTCTATAAGTTCTCTCCCCTCCTGAATGCCCACCTATGAGAGTGGCATGATGTTCGTTGATGAGTGTGGTCTTTAGCTTAGGTGAATTACCCACTACCAATCTGGTTTTGCAAAGAAAATAAGGATGACCAGTTGGATTCTGAGTCAAATCTGTGATAAGTTGTTGGATAGAAGGGTTTTGTTCCCAACTGGTTTGAAGATCCTTAACCCAATGGCAGAGGACAATGGAGAGAGCAGACATACTGCTCATATCTTCCTTTCCTTTTCTGGACAAGGCATCTGCAGCGTGATTAGATTTACCACTCCGGTATACAATTTCATAATCAAAACCCATGAGTTTGGAAAGCCAATTTGGTTGCATGAGAGTAGTAATTCTTTGCTCCAACAAGAATTTGAGGCTTTGGTGATCTGTCCTAATGTGGAAATGCCTACCCAAAAGGTAATGTCTCCATTTGGTAACAGCTAGAACTACAACCAAGAATTCCTTCTCATATGTAGATAACCCAAAGCTTCTGGCAGACAATGACTTACTAAAATAGGCTATGGGTTGTCCCTCTTGCATCAATACAGCTCTCAACCCCTTATCAGAAGCATCACATTCCAGCACAAAGGTTTTATCATAATTGGGTAAAGCCAATACAGGAGCAGTAGTCATAGTTCTTTTCAATAGGACGAAAGCTTGTTCAACATCCTCAGACCATTTAAAGGCATCCTTTTTAAGTAATGTAGTAAGGGGTTGGCTGATCTTGCCATAGTCTTTTATGAACCTTCAGTAATAACCAGTCAAACCCAAAAATCCTTGAAGAGCTTTCAAAGGTTGAGGTCTAGGCCAAGTGGACATAGCGTCTATTTTAACGACGAAAGCTTGTTTAGCATCCTCGGACCATTTAAAGGCATCCTTTTTAAGTAATGTAGTAAGGGGTTGGTTGATCTTGTCGTAATTTTTTATGAACCTTCGGTAATAGCCAGTCAAACCCAAAAATCCTCGAAGAGCTTTCAAAGATTAAGGTCTAGGCCAAGTGGACATAGCGTCTATTTTAACGAGGTCTGCAGCCACACCAGAACCAGAAGTAATATGCCCCAAATACTCCACTTGCTGCTTCCCAAAAGCACACTTGGACATCTTGGCATACAGTTGATGAACTCTCAATTTTTCCAAGGTCAAGGTCACATGAAACATATGTTCAGCCCAGCTCTTACTGTATATGAGGATATCATCAAAAAATACTAACACAAACTTCCTCAAAAATGGCCTAAACACATCATTCATCAGGCTTTGAAAGGTGGATGGAGCATTGGTCAAGCCAAATGGCATGACCAAAAACTCATAGTGGCCTTCATGCGTTCGAAAAGCTATTTTTTCAATGTCAGGAGCATGCATCCGTATTTGATGGTACCCAGATCTTAAATCCAACTTAGAGTAGAATAGAGCTCCATGTAACTCATCAAGTAATTCATCAATTATGGGAATAAGGTATTTGTCCTTGATAGTGTCCTTATTTAAAGCTCTGTAGTCAATACACATTCGCCAAGTGTTGTCCTTCTTTTTGACCTAAAGGAGTGGTGAAGAAAAAGGAGACACACTATGCCTAATAACCCCTGAGTTCAACATCTCTTTTACTATTTTCTCAATCTTATTCTTCTAAATAAAAGGATATCGATAAGGCCTGATATTTGGGGGATGACTACCATCCTTGAGAGGTATTTTGTGATCATGTGATCTAATTGGAGGTAAGTCACTGGGTTCCTGAAACACATCAGTATAATCATGTAAGATTCTATCAAGATCCTAATGAACCTCGTGGTCAACTTCAACATAATTGGAATGTAGGCTGCAAAGGTGAGTTATGATTTCTTGTGGTTTTTTCTGCATCAGCTTCTCCATTGCCTTAACTTCAATTTGTTGTATCTCCATTGTTGCACCACCTCGCAACACATGTTTTTTGCCAAATGCAGTGAATTCCATCTTCAAATTCTGGAAATCCCATAACACCGATCCCAAAGTAGATAACCACTGGACTCCCAATACTATGTCACAACCCCCCAAAGGTAATAATCTCATGTCAGCTGTAAAAGTTGTATCCTGCATAACCCACTGGAAATCCTTCACCATAGCATTGCTTTGTAACTTGGTACCATCAGCTACCACCACTGTTAAAGGATTGGTGAATTGGATTGATGCTCCAATTCGTTTTGCCATTATTGGGTCCAAAAAATTGTGGGTACTACCGGAATCAATTAATATAGTGACCATATTCTTCTTAACCTTTCCTTTAATTCTCATAGTCTTATAAGAGAAAGAACCTGATAGGGCATGAACTGAGATTTGCAATTCTTCTTGCACATTTGCTTTGTCCATGTCTTGCACCACATCCTCAAAGACATCTTCCTCATCCTCAGCTTCAAGCATAAAGAGTTGCTTCTTCTTGCAAACATGGCCTTTGAAATATCTCTCGTCACATCCATAACATAATCATTTCATTCTTCTCTCCTCCAATTCCTTCTATGTCGTTTTCTTTACAGCAGTTACTGACTTCATAGGTTTTGGTGCTGGCTCCATTGATTTATTGATTTGCTACTTGTAAGAAAACTGGTATTGTAGCTTTTGGAATAAACCCTATTCTTCTTGGCTAAGGCCTCAATTTTTTCTTCCTGTAACCTTGCTAAACCCATGGCTTGTGAGACATTTCTTGGTCTAAACATCTGTATTCCTGCCTTAATTTCATCTTTCAAGCCACTCACAAAACAACTAACAAAGAATTCTTCTAATAATCCATTTGTTTTATTAGCCAATTCTTCGAATTTCCCCTAGTAGATTTGGACTGTTGATATCTGTCTCAATTTTGATAGTTGTCCTATAGCATCATCAAATAGGCTATCTCCAAATCTATCAACCAAGGCCCCAACAAATTCCCTTCAAGATCTGAGAACATGGGTCTTTTCATACCATCGGAACCAGTGAATAGCCCTATCCTCCATCTGTATTGAAGCCAATTGCATTTTTTGTGTTTCATTGATTGGATTAAATTCGAAAAGCTTCTCACATTTGTATACCCAAGCCTCAGGGTCTTCACCGAAAAATTTTGGAAAATCCAATTTGGCAAATCTAGTGTGCCACTGATATGGATTATTGGTGGG